CCGCTTATTTCTTATTTTCACATTTAAAAATTCAATATTGGTGAGTAAATTTATTTTCCATTCACTTAATGCAAATTTGCTTTCAAATATTTTTGTGCATTTTACGTTTAAATTCAATTTCAAATTGAATAGGAAATGCAATAACCATACTTGTATGTAGTATATCGATAACATTCAATCACTGCACATCTCAGTTTTTGTGAAACTGCACTGCCATCCTTCGGGTGCACATGGAAGTGTGTTTTCGTTTGCCCAAAAGGCGTCATTTGCGAAAATTAACTTATTTACATAAAAGTTATTTTAACTCGCGTGCGCGTGTTCAAATGCAGAATAGGTGCGAATGTGTGCGTGCGCGAATACGTTTCTGTTCGCGTCCGTTGGATATTAGCCGTATCGTGTTGCATGTAGCCGCTGTACGGAAATATGCGGCCAATTTTTTTTGCGATTTTTTGTGTGCTTGTATCAGCGAACTGCAGGAAATAACTCTAGGCTGTACAATAGCTCTAAAGAAATCGCACTAGCCATGCCAATGGGCGGCGTGTACATACACCACTACAGAATGAGCGCCCACAACTTCAAATAAATACCAAAATTTATAAAATTCGGCACAAACGAGTGCACATCGAACATTTTCGAGATTTTCGTAAAACTTAATGTGAGTACCGAAACATTTATTTTTGCTGCTTTTGCATTTTTGGCAATTTATTTTTTTGCAACTTCATGATAACGTATGTACGTTTGTGCGCGAGCTTCTCAGTAATATCACTAAAAACCGTCCTTTTACAATCGAAATAAGCGACTGCGCATATGCTTGTTGCGCGACAATTTCCGACGACGTTCTCAACCTGACTGACTGACTGAGTGGTGAGTGCACAAAGTAAGCGAGACCAAAACCAATACTAAACAAGTCAAAGCTAAAGACATACAGTTGAAATGAAATAAGAGGAAAAGACAATTCCAAATGAAATTTGAAAAAGCAAAGGCAAATGCACAAAAGCAAAAGTAAAAACAAAAACCAAACCGTTGGTAATTGTATCTGCGCGGTGCTGTTGAATGGGAATTTTGACGAAATATATGTACATACTAGACACATATGGACAAGATATACATACATGAACCTGATCAACCGACAATAACAGCAATAAAAGCAATGCTCGAAATTGTTGTAGTTGCAGGGCCGCATTCCACTCCTTCGTATAGACTTGCGGTCGCTGTTTTTGCTGTTGTCTTCCCCATTGTGGTATTTGGTGTTGTTGTTGTTTCTGTTACTGTAGCTATCAATTATGCTTGTTTTTGTTGTCGCCGTCGCTATTTGTGGGTCTTTTAGCGCGCTTGTTTGTGGCACGTTCCCTTGCCGGCACCAACACCACCACTATTAACAGCTGGTCCATCGAGCGCACACTGCAAGCAGTAGCCGCCAGTCCACAACAAATAAAACAATGGCTCTTCCACTAGGGTCGTTGCAATAGAAAATTTTCGTTCTTGTAACCCCTCGTCTGCAGGCGCGCTGTCTTCAGCAACGTAATCATCCAGCCCAGCGCATGTAATCAGGATACTTGCCTGCTCGTAGTGGTGGTTTTCACCTTGTCTGTTATTTAATTTCAAAAATACTCGCGCTCTCGACAACGCGTAGGTCTTACGTATGTTGGCTCTTTCTTCCTTTCAGTTCTTTTTTATTGTAGATTGCGGACTCAACATTCTTGCAAATGTTGCCGCAACTGGTTAACCAATGCATAGTATATAGTGGTAATTGGTTGTGTGGATCTTTGGTGTCTCGATCGTTTGCGGGTTTGGCCGATGTTTCCTATTTTTCCAATCGTTTCAGTATGCGATTTTGATTTCATCGCTCTAAGCTACATATTTACATAAGTACTTACGAGTGTTTGTGTTATCATATTCAGCGGTTTTGTGACTCTCACTGCGATTCTGCGTTCTTAGTCCGTTGAGAGTGAATGCCTCAAACTAGTATTTCTTGTAGTTGCTTTGCATTTGATGATCTGTGCGTGTGTCGATTTTGTATACTCTTTCAAAATAATTGCGGGTGCGCTCTTTACAAACGAAGTTACATTCTCTTAATGGAGTCGTCGTTGGAGCTTTTAGCGCCAACGAAAATAATACTTGTTTTCGCTCTAAATATGCGTGCGTTTATTCTTTTCTTTTACCTTCATAGTTGTTCGACACAAGGATGCCAAATACGAGCTTTTTTCGATTACGGATCTACAGAAGCCAAAAATGGGCTTGAGAAGCGGAATGAGCATTTATTATATGTCATGTAAGAAACCTATTCGCAGATTCGAAAGTCTTTTAGAAACGTCAGATTTTTTGTCATTTTAATTATTACAAAAACCATAGTTGGAACCTGTGATTTTTCTCTTCTTCGTCACTACAAGGTTGGCTTGGTCTGGGCATCCGCCAGTTGCCTCTATCCTATGCGAGGTTACCCCTGTTGTACATCTCACATCCAACCAGGTTTGATCCTTCCATTGGATGTGTGGCCTCTCTTGCTTCCGTTGGCCACCCATGGGTCTCGAATCGAAGGAGCTTTTCGCCGGAGCATCGTCTCCCAGGAGTAAAATATGGCCTTAACAACGTATTTGGAAGATTTTTATGAGCATAACAAAATCCATATCGCCGTATAGCTCATACAGTTCATGGTTCCATTTTCTTCGCTGCTTAACCCTTATGCTAAGTGCTTCCTCATCATGTTCTTTTTTAGGGCGATAATGATAAAATTGCCTACTGATATCAATCTAGTACCAGCTGCCAAGAGTTATTCAGTACTTGATATCCCGGCTTAGACTGTTGGTGGTATTTATGCTGGATCCGAGGTAGATTCGACGAGAAGTACTTCACTATAATAGAAAATACTGCACTGGCGGCTCTGTTGTTGTTGTTTTAACGGATTCCTAGTCCTCGTTGTGATGGTTAGGATTACCTAAGTTGTCGTCGACGTCATCCAACGGAAGGCCTAAGAAACTTGCTGTTTCGATGGGGTCGGACCAAAGAAAGAGGGGTGTCAGATAAGTGGGGTTCGAGAGGCATGCAAGGTGCCCAGTGTCATGCGCAGACTCATTACACGCGAACATATGTATATGTATGTCGGGGTATATTCTAGATAGGTAGGAGTTTAACTTGCTCCAGTATCCAGAACGAAGCTGCGCAAGGGTCTCTCTCGTTTCTCGCGACAACTCGAGCTCGTCGTCTGCAATGGGCGAACGTTTGACTCCAAGTACTCCATTCACTGAAAGGGAGTCGGTGAAGGTGTTGATGGCTCCACTATGAATGGCGGTCAGTGCTTGTCGCAAGTGAGTTGCGTCGGAAGTCTGGCCGGCGCAATGTCTGATGTCGTCGTTGTAGTTGAGAAATTACCTATTGATGTTCCTAGGAGGCGGTTCCGCTTCGCACGACAGTCGGGTCTACCTAACCCTAACGGACCCGGATTTTTATCTGGCCAAGAACTGTAAACTCGTCAGAATTCTGCCGCTACAACAACAACATCAACATCAAGTTCTTGTCTGAAAACTTATTTATTTGTGAAGGATATTTTAGCTTCAGTGTAGCCGAAGCATTATTGTTTTTGGTTTCATTTAACTCATAAAAGTGAAAAGGCAGGTCTTCTTCACCTTTAAAATAGAAGTAAACTTTATTTTTCAACACAATGTGACACCGTTTATTATATGTATGTAATCTTATATATGTATATATTTTTCATTTCTAATATTATTTTAGTACTTTTTATACATATTTTTGTAATGTTTTTATTTAAAATATTCTTTTATGAAAACTCCCATTCTGTTTTTAGTGAAAATTCTTGCCTTCATTCATATTCCGCTTGTTTATTGTTTTTTTTTTTCATTATAAACTTGCATGTATATATATATATGCTTGCTGTATATACATATGTATGCAAGTACTACATATGTATACGTAGCTAAGTATTTTTGTTAGCTAATAATAGTAGATATTGATTTACATAGTTAGTTGATAAATATAAAAGAACATAAGATACACAATAACATTCTTAAATAATCAGAATTAATCAATCAAAGTGTACTTTTTTTGTATCATAAAATTTCTTTCATATAATCGTAGTAGTTCCACATAGTTATGGTTATGTATATGTGTATGCAGTTTGTAGGCTTTCTATATGCTGACCACATTTTCCCTTTTAAGCCTGAATTAAATAATTTTTTGGTTATATTCTTATGCCGAAATAAATTTGTTCAACTACTTATTTTCATTAACATTATTTGGGTAATTTGGAACCCGGAATTGCTAAAATAAACATTCATACTTTTGTCGAAGGGCACCTATTTCCACAGCGCACCTTAATAATAATAAAATGTTGGGGGGGAAGAGATGTTAAGTATTGGAATAATTAAAGCAACTGGAATATTAATGCAATTTATTATTTAATGCCTTTTTACACTATATGCGTTTAACAGTCAAATTCATGATAAATAACTGCATATTGTGAAATTTTTTTTAATAATTAAAAACTTTTTTAGATCATATATTGAATTTTATTTAATTTAATATTGTTTTTTTTTTCGTTAACATTTTTTATTTCTTCTTTTAAACTTATTTTTGAAAGGATAATGTTTGAAGTTTTGCATAAATTCTTTTATTTTATCATTATTTTTTTGTGTATTTTATATCTTTTTACCAATTTCTATTTTATTTTACTATTATTTATTTACTTTTTCAGTTTAATTTTTTTCTTTTCCTTTCTTTTTTTTATATTGTCGAATTTATTTCAAAAGAAAAATATTGTTTTAATTTGCCTTTATTTGTTTTCTCACCGACAGTTAATTTTTTCAACATTTATTTTAAGAGATAAACTTATAAAAATTTCATAACGTATTTTTTCTAACATTTAAACAATATTTTTAGAATTTAATACAGTTGCTATGAATTTGACCATTAAACGCTTTGAAATCGTAATTTACCAAAGTTTAGTAAAAATTATATGTAAATTACTTTATATTTCCTTTGTTTACCTGTTTCTATTTTAATATTTATTTTTCTTCTATACCCTCTTATTTCATACCTTCCATGTTTACTTTAGTGTCGCTTTTACTTTTGGTATACATTTTTTTATAATTTCACGAAATATAGCCGCAGTCCCAAGCAAAATAATTTTTTTTTTATGTAATTTCTCATGTTTCATATACGCTATTTGCTGGGACAATAGTAATTCACTTAGTAATTTTTGTTTAGGGTAAAGCGAAGGGGTTTGTATCTAGGCCATCTAGTTAGCAGCAGCAACAGCAGTTGTATTTTGTTTTTGTTGTTCATTTCGTGTTTTTATTAAATAACAATTTCAATTTAAGAATGTTAACTTAAAGATAATTGGTTTAGTGACAATAATCGCTCAACAGCAGCATTTATGTCGCCAAAAGTAGCAATTAGCGCTGGAAAAAAATTAAAAAAATAAAAATTAATTAGACATATATGTATATAGAAAAAAGTATTTCTAACATAAACTACTTAATTTCTTAACTCACCTTGCAAGTTGGCCTCCCGATTAGCGAAACCCATAGCCGCCAGTTGCTCCAGTTGTGACTGATAGCGCACCTCAGGTGGCTGCGTGTTGTCAGCCTGCATGCCCACGCCGTTCAACATGCGTGAAACAAAGTCGTTGAAGAGTTGAGCATTCGGTCCGCCACCGGGTGCCGTAGCGGGACGATTGGTATCGCCACCGCCGCTCGTGGTGTTTGTAGTTGAGGTTGTTGTACCGGTGGAACTTTCTGTATTGCCAGGTGCTGGTGGTGGTATACCCAAAGAACCGACCAGTCCGGGCGCCGCCGAACGTAATTGCTCCATGCCTTGCTGTATTTGCATAATTGCATTTAGTGCTTCGGGATTAGTCAACATATTCTGTACTTCGGGATTTTGCATTTGATTAAGGAACTGCGGCATCATTTGACGCACCTGATCTTGCAGTTGTGGATTATTAGCCATTAGAGGGCTGGTGCTGAGCAGACGTGAAGCCATATCGGGATCCTGTGCCATTGCGTCCATCATGGAGCGCGTATAAGGTGCATTTAAGAGATTTTGCATTAAAGATGGATTTTCAGCCATTTGTTGCATAAGACTCTGCATGGCGGGCGTGTTGAGCACACCGCGTGGCGGCAAATCTGGATTGGCACCAGACGCAGCACCACCACTACCAGCCGTACCACTAGTATTGCCGCTACCGCCCCATGGATTTGGTAGGGGTTGACGATTCTCAGTGCCTTGTTGCGGGTTTATGCCGCCTAAAAGTCAAATAGAAAAATATTAGCATAAAATGTGTGGTCAAATAATTTTGTCACTGGTTATGCATACCGCCAGAACTGTCCATTAGACCGGAAAATGGATTGCGTGTAAAAGAATCGCTTGCTGCATTCAACATTGGCTCTTGTATATCGCGGTAAATACGTTGAAGCGCATTGTAACCGCCAGGCACCGATTCCAAATTCGACATTGCACGGTCATGCGAACGCATCAACTCTTGCAACATAGATGGATTGCGTGCTAACTCCATAGTTTGACGTAGCAATTCAGGATTATTTAGCATATGCGATATTTCAGGATTGCGCTGCATTAAGTCCTGCATTTGCGGATTCGAGGTGAAAAGAGTGCGCATTATCTCTGGATTATTCATCATTTGTTGTACGAGTGGGTTATCAAGTACTGAGCGTAACATGTCACCGTTGTTTAACAATTCACTTTGCATGCGAGCTTGCAAATCCATAAAAGACCCAGTGCCTGCGCCCAATGCTTCCATTCCAGCCAATCCACCTAATTGGTTAAGACCAAACGGTGTTTGACGTACATCAGCGGCTGGACGAGCGGCAGGTTCTGCTGCCCTTGTAGGTGCTTTGATTACTAGATGAACTGTTAGACCATCTTTAATGTTGTGAGTCTTTAATGTATCAGTGTCATTCATAATTTTGCCAGCAAAAATTAGTACCACCTGTTCGGGTTCAGAGTCGAATTTCTGCGCCACAAGTTGTTTGAACTAAAAAAATATTTTTATGATGATTATTGCGCCATAGAAATTAATCATTACTATTGATTATACACGTCACAGGTATTAACAGTCTTTTTTTTTTTTAATAAACTCGACGATTAGCTAAATATAGGATTACGTACCACGGCAACGGCTAATACTGGACGGACACTTAATCAGCAACCAATTTTAGAAAAAAAAAAAACAAACAAATATAATGATGAAAATGAAAAGCAAAACAAAATTATGTATGCGGTTGCGCCACCGTGTTTACAACTTCATTGTTTTGAGTGGTGCAATCATCAAATTCACAAAATTTGTGCATTCTGACAATATGCCACATCTTTGCGCCAATCGCCTGCCAACACGCAAACAAAAGCGACGAGAACATGTACTCATGTAAAGCAATAAAACCAGTAAGTGTCACATGAGAGTTACATGCGGGTATAATGGCTGGCTTTCGAGAAGTCAGCTAAAAAATATTCAGCTTAAATGTAAGCTCAAAGTACACTCACGTCCTTAATTCCAGAATCTTCATCCACCTCGATTGTTTTCTTCTCCTTCGGTGTTTTAACGTTGACAACGATACGCTTGCTATTGCCTCCTTCTGCCATTTTTGTTTACTTTTTGAAGGGTTTTGTAAAGAATTTTTTTCTCAATTTGCTTCGATATTAGTTTTAACAAATTTCGAGTTTTTTATTTAGCAAAAATGCTGCAAGAATTTTCATAGATTGAAAAATTTTGTCAATTAAAAACTAATTCGTCACTTTCGTATAACACACACACGGAATGAAAAAAATTAACGAAACATAGTCGCATTTCGTTTGACGATGCCTACCCGATTGGAAAATGTAGAGTTGTATTGGCCAATCAAGTGTTGTAAAATATTATGCAACCTTTTTTTTAATTTTTGAATCTAAATATTTATAAAAGTTTCTTAAGTTATCTTTAATTTTTTATTGCAACTTTTAAAACAAACACTTAAATACATCCACACAGCTTGTGGATGTTAAGAAAATATGCGTTGAAATATTTTAATAACCTGTTCGGGAACATTAAATTATTTTTTTTTTGCTTTTAATAGTATACTAAAAAAAAGTTATAAATAAAGAATGTAAACTTCTTCTAAATATTCATTAATGAACAAATAACATCTCAAAGTGATATTTATCAAATATTTCACTGACTCTAAATGAGTAATCGATAAATGAATGTCAATTAGAAATATTCCGTCATTTTTCACTGAACATACCTATCTATTCACAGTAATTTATTTACAACAATGTGTTAAACGGTATATTTTATTCTTGCACGTGTGCCTTAAGGATTTTTTGTTAAAGTTATATTTTGGCGAATAGCATTTGTTATTCCTCAATTTAATGAGTTCCACCCGTTTCTTTGTGGCTAATTTGCCACCTAATGTAACTGAGAAACAACTCAATGAAGTTTTTCAGGATTATGGCTTAGTTGAACGTGTTGAATTGAAGACCAAGGAGAACGCATTTGAACCAGAGAACGTGAAAGTGTTAGCGTTTGTAACGCTACAAATTCATCCCAATGATGTAAACAATTGTATGGAATCTCACGAACATTATCTCTAAATAATTAAATTACTTTAAAATTTCGATTGCAGGTGTTGATGCGCTTAATTGGGTAAAAGTTCAAGGGGCTAAAATCAAAGTTTCGGTGGCAAAAGAATCGTTTTTGGAACGATTAAAACGTGAACGCAAAGAAGCTGAAAAAGGCAAGACAGCTGATACAAAAGTCACTTGGAATGAAGAGCAAACAGAAGCTGTGTTGCCGCGCAGCGTTCAGAATACGCGCAAAAAATTTACGGAGGAAGATTTGACGGCGTTGGAAAATGACGACGAAATCGCAGCAGACTTGTTAATAAGCAAAAAGCGTGCAGCTACGTCATTGTACAATGGAAAGGTAAGAAATACAAATATGCTGGAATTAAAAATTAATGCGTTATGTATTATCTAGATTGTTATACAAAACTACGATACGGCGCCGTTACATATCATCGAGGGAGTGAAAAAGAGAAAAAAGAAACCGGATGGAACGGAAACTATTTCGGAACAGAAGCGTAAGGAATCCCAAAATAAAATGACAAAGCAATACAAAGAAAAGAAATCCGTTATACAGCAGGCGCTTTCCGGCATGGTATGGAATAAACATATTTTGTTTGCCAAATTGAATTAACAAATCCAATAATTACAGGATGCACCTAAGTCAAATAAAATCAAATTTAGCGATGCCGAGGAGGAGGATGAGTCAACAATTCCGAATGATTCAAAACATAAATCCAAAACAAACATTTTTGGCTCTGATGAAGATGACAATGAAGCTGGTGAACAGCTCCAACTAAAACCAGAACTTTTTGGTAAAAAAGGTGCAAAGCTCATAGAATTGCAAAGCAAACAAAGTTTAGATCCACGTTTCCGCATTGATGCCAAATTTGTCGAAGATGATGAAGAAGATCAACAACAATCGGATACAGGTGCTCGAACTAATAACGAAGCAAGCGGCGAAGTAAACGAGCGTAGTTGGCAAATGGGCATATTGGAACAGGTTGTGGGCACCAAAATCGACGTCACCGACAATGCGCAAAAAGCTGCGCGTAAGAAGCGCATGCTGCGCTATGATCCATCCAAAGAAGAGCATCAAAAATTGCTACGCACAAGCAACAAAGAAACACAACCAGCGCCCGACGCAGAGGCACAAACAACGGCCGGTAAGAAGAAACAAAAGAAAAAACAAGCAGAAAGTGAAGAGACCACTGTAGCCGATGCAGGACCAGAAGTCTCAAAAGAGATTTTCTACGTGGTCACCGATACGCTGGCGGAATCTCTCAAAACGCGCGGTGATGGTTTCAGCTTGCTGAATATGTTCGGTAGCGCAGAGGTGCAAGACAAGCGTGCTGATGAGCTGAAAAAAGTATCCGATGCCAAGATATTAGTGAATAAACTGGATAAGAATGCGTTAAATCCTTTCAAATATGACTCGTCATCAGACGAAGGTGAAAAGGAGCCACCGAAGCAAACTGCGACAGACGGCGGCGCGCAAAAGAAGTCTAAGCAGCAAAATAAAATTTTGTTGGAAAGCTTCTTCATACCCAGAAACGATGCACGATTGAAAGGTAAAGCACGTAAATTTATTTGTAAACAATATTTCTATAGCATAACACTTTTTCTTTTGTAGAAGGCGCTAAATTTTTCCACCACGAGAAGAAGGACGCACCAGAGGAGGACTATGAAGCTGTGCGCAATCGTTTAAAACTTTTAATAAGAAGTAAAATTAATAAAACTAAGAAAAATTTGGTTGCCAATAGTGGCGTTGGTGGGGTGGGTCGCAAAAGACGAATAAAAGGTCTCCATTGAATTGGCAACATTTAAAAAAAAACAGCGTATTTTCATTTCATATTAGTTACTTGCACGTACACGTCAATTTTCCGTTGACGCGCGCGTTCTCTGCCGGCGCTAGCGCAAAATTTCATTTGTCACCTGCACGCAAATGTACTAGGCGCCCATAACCGTGCAGAAGGTGACCGCTAAATTTGTTTAGCCAAGGCGCGAACCATCTATTGAGTGTGGCCACTAACCAATTATGCAGCCAAGACAACAACCATTTAGCGATGGGTCACACTATTATCGCCGCAATTTGCCAGAGCCTGGCAATTATTGCGGCGGCAACATATTGCTGCTATTGGGCAATACGCAGCGCAAAATGCTTTGCTTTTAGTGGTGGAATTTGTTTTAATTATTTATTTGGCATTGTTTTTGATTTCTTTTCAGGAATTTAACATTATTTTTCGATTCTTTTAATGAATTTGAAATAATTACAATAAAGATAGCTGCGTATTGCTTTAAAATAATGAAAAATGTAATTTTCTTATTTTTCTTTTTGCAAATTTGTATATGAAGGCATAATTTTTATGGCATGTAGTTAATTAAAAAAATTTTCAATTATACCAAGATCGTATGAATAATTTCTTTAAAAATTTGCAAAGAAAAATTTTTGTTATAAAATTTGCACGCAACTGTTTAAGAAGTTTCACTTCTCACTCTTATTGCGAATTGAAATTTTATGCAGCTAAATGCATATTACAATGTGACATTTTCCTATTTTTATCAATGCATACACTTACATATTTCGTATTTTTAATAAAATACAATGGCACATAGGTTACAAATTGTGGCAAAATAAAATGAGTATTTAAAAGTTTCCGCTCATCCAAGATGTTAAAATAGTTAAGTAAATTTTTGGCAACATTTCAAATAAATTGAAATAGCAGCCTATTCTTACGACTATACTTATAAAGTAATTAAGCACAAAATTCTGTATATAAATATGAGTATGTGTGTGTAATCCTACATGGAAATATTTAAACAGTAAACACTTGCACTTATTGAGTATTACACTAAATTCATTACAACAAAAAAATATTTAATTATAAAAAAAAAAATAAATTAGAAAAATAAAAATCTCATCGCTTTTGTTCTTTGGCTCCGCTAGCGGTTTGCTTTTGGTTGCTCTTTTTGGCTTGACTTACTTAAATCTATTTGGCTTACTCCGCTAAATGACTGGTTTTGTTTGGTGTTGCTCTTAAGGCACATAATTTCGTCGAGTTCGACAAGGCGCCTCACTACTTGCTTTCCACTGGCTTTTTGCCTGCCAGCGCCTCAATGGCCACAACTGTGCGCTCAAATAAGGCTAGCAGTCGCTCTTCACGCGCGTCCATGCGCCGCAGCAGTTCTTCGTCGCGTTTCTCGCGCCGTTTTAAGTACTCGATTAGTTCGTAGTTTGTGCTGTCGCCGCCATCGGTGGATGTAGAGAGTTTGCGCTTGCTTTTCGCAGATCCGCCAATGCCATCACCGCCGATAACGCTGCTGCAATCGGAAATGTTATCGGTGTCTACTATGACGTCCGGGTGCAGGATGTTGTGGTCAATGCTGTGTGGATAATAGTTTTGGGAACTGAACGGTAGTTTTTATTGATGAAAAATAAAAATTCGATAAATATAATAAAATACATAGTTAATGGATTTTTATTAGGGATATTAGTTTTAGGAATTGAAAGGTAGTAAATATTAGATACATACAGATGTACATATGCATGTATTTAATGAAAAATCAATAATTATCGATAAGCTCTATTATCGATAATTATTGATAATTGTTATAATAAATTACTTCCGATAATTATGTAATCAATATTTATCGATAATTTTTATCGAAAAATATCGAAAATTTGTATGCTGGATAAACGTTTAGTGCTTACCCATTATAATTCGTCTGCATTAACTGTATATCATCTGGGTTGAATTCCCCGTCGGACATAGGTTCAGACCTACAAATAAAAGAACAATTTAAGAAATATTCACATTTCCATTAAAAAGGTTTAACTCACTTCATGGAGATATTGTTTTCGCCATTGGTCAAAGCCATTGGCCCACCGCTATTGCATTCCTTATCGAAGTGCGTTCGCAGCACATCCTTAATGCCATTAGTGGCATGTGGCACCAGCATGCCGCTCACACTGCCCACACCAACACCCACACCACCACCACCTGTTGCACCCCCAACACCATTGGGTATCTCCGCATCGCCATTCAAGGGCAGCGCACCATTTAATTCGGGCGCATGTGGTGCCGCGCTGCAATTACCGTTCTCCATGCTACCAACACATTCGTTAGCCGCACTTTCGCGCATTTCCTGTTCCTTCTGCATGGCCGCATTCATTGCTACCGCCGCCGCCGCAGCTGCTGCAGCCGCTGCCGCGCTGGCGCCACCGGGCAAATGCATAGGCGGACCATCGTCATATAGACCCATACCACCGCCCAAACCGTCGCCCAGCTGTGCTTCCACAAAGTGGTTGGGCAGAAAGCGTTCCATTTTGCTGTTGTTGCTGCTGGAATCAGTGGAGAGGCTTTGCAGGAGACTATGTTGCATGACCGCAGCCGCCTCTTTACCCAAATACGCCACACCCAGCTCAGCAGCCTGACGCCGGCGCTGATAGTAGGACAGTTCTTTGTGACTCTTCGCTATCAAAGCCAAGCGTTTGCCATTCGCCGAACCCCAGCACTCGCCGCGCTGCTCTTCGATCTCTTTGAAAAGAAACATATACGGCCAATTGCGACGCACATGACGTTCGGGATTCTTCTTCAGTTGTGTGTAGATCTTTTTCAAATTCTCATAACGATTGCAGCACTGTTTGGCGGAGCGTTTGCGCGCACTAAAGCGATTCAGCACTTCGGCGACCATTTCCCAAACGCTGGCGTGATTCTTGCGATTCGATTGGAAGGCGCTTTGTATGCGCTCCGATTTGACGATATTCAGCAGTGCGATCGATTCCGGCACATTGAAGTAGCTTTCGGGTGTGCGCGGCGCGCGATGGTGGTGGTAGCTGCTGCCGTTGCTGTTGCTGCTGCTGTTGTGGGTGTGGTTGCTGTTGGCATTACCGTTGGCATTACCGTTGCCATTACCATTGCCATTGCTAACAGGTGTCGAAGGCGGTTTGGTGTCCTGAAGGAGTAAAAAATCAGAAAAAGAAAAAAACACTAGTAAGTTTTGTAGGGAGAGTTATAGAGATAGTGTGTCCTGCGCAAAAAGTGCAATTAGCGAAACGGGGAGAAATCTCAGGTTCTAGTGTATGGAATATCAGAATTAATGTATGTATGTATGTTGTGTAGGTGATCAGGTGGTTCTGGCACTTCAAGCTAACAACTGACCTAGCGCCCTAGTAGGAAGTTAAACTCCTACTTATCCAGAATTGATCCCGACATACAAAACGTATGTCTTGCACTACACCTCTTTGTATGCCCAATGACACCAACTGACTTGAAAACTCTCTCCTTGTGGTCCGCCCTTACCTTTCCTGGTCCTACCGTTAAGTGATTTCGACGACAGCTAACATATGCCTCCTCCCAATCAGGGTTTAGATAAACGCTACCACAACAACAGAACCTCAAAACAACGGATCACTAGGGCGCGGATCAAACAAACACATACGAAAATACCTACATACATCATATTGGAAGGGTTTGGCTACAAACATTAGACGCAGAGGGTTTCAGAAACCAACAGAGGTGGTGTCAAGTAAATTCAGCTTATGACTGACTGCATTCTGACCATTACGAACGTATGAGTATTTATCAACCATTCCCTCGACGCAATATTTAATGCTGGTACCGGGTGAAATGGTACATGACGATAGGAGGTTTACTTCGGATTAAAGATCCACAGTACCCTATGTCAGGTTCAGGATTACGATGTTTCCTCCTCGAAAAAAAACTTACAATCATATATACATACATATGTAAACATTTCTCGCACTCGTATATGTACCTCAGTTAAAATGAATAGAACACAATTTTGAGCAGCTGAAAATGAGTAATGTTATTTTTATACACAACATTTACATATGCACAGGCGTATGTACAGAACATATGTATGTATATGTAGACGTGTCTGTAGTACGATTGTAATAGCTGTATCTTCATTCGTTTACCAAGAAGATGAATCAAGCGAAAGCGATTTAAAAGAAAAATCATTCAAGAAGATTTCGCGCAACGCTATGCGGAAAAGCGCATGAGCAGACAAATTGAGAAAATAAGCAAACTTTATGGCAGTCGCATGAAATGAAATTACAACGGTAAACAGAAAGTGAACGCGTTTATGGAATCATTTGCTATCGACAAGGTGAGCACTATTCAACGCGCCTCCGACCGTAATATACATACATGTACAAGCATACATACATATGTACTCACATACATACATACATATGTGGGTACAAATGAAAAATGCCCTTATGTGGAGGAATATAAATCCGGTACCGTTCTGATTTCATAGATCAGACTATCTCGAACGAACGAACTTTGCTGATTCGTTTAGCAGTTTTTTGCACCAGAGGCTCTTTTAAAGGTCTGCTGGCTAGGTCATGTCGTCCGTATAGGTGAAAACACTCCAGCTCTGAAAGTATTCGACGCAGTACCCGCCGGGGAAGGCAGAGAAAAAGTGGCATCTCCACCCCATTAGAAAGACCAGGTGGAGAAGTTCCTGGTTTTGCTTGGAATCTCCAATTGGCGCCGCATTGCAAAAAGAAGAAACCACTGGTGCGCTGTTGTTAACTCGGCTATAACCGCGCAGAATCTGAAAATGCTGAACATATGTAATATTATGTGTGTAATTTGTAATAGTGAAGCATAATCAATAAGACACTCAATTTAGAATTTTTTGATGATACGTTATTCTGCATTTCAGGTGACGATATGTAAGTTAGTAAGAGTGATGTAGTCCCTAAGGATCTATGTTGCAGATTTTAAATAAATACGTTAGATTATGAAAACGATGGGTGAAATTTAACATGCACGTTTCCGCTCTGAACTGTCACCAATCAACCACCATTTCCAGACGAATTATGTTCCACTTCTAAAAAGATTTCTAAAGACTGTATTCAGTCTATCACATACCGAGACTTAAAAGAGCATCGTGACAACCACATCGAAATACTTGAATTCATTCTCATTAGATGAATAAGAGAGTCAGAGACCAAATATTTCGGGTCTTAGCAGTTTTAAGTACTCTACACCTGTACGTCCTTACTTTGTCGTTTTTTAGAAATTTTCAAGAAAACTTCATCAACAAAATGAATATATTATTCGAGACTCGTTCGCGACATTTCTCCTTGCCGGCTTTTTTTAACACTTTTAACAGTTATGTATATGCTCATAGATTTTGAACTGCGGTACATACATACATTTGTATATTCCCATATGTATTATGCATATTTACGTGACTGATCTTACTTTAACCCACAAACATACACACTTACATAAATATATACACATCCACAGACTCTCCCTCTCCCAATCGTAATACAGTTAAATTTATTGAGTTTTTTAAGTGCAGAAGACACTTGAGTTGGAATGTCAGTGGTATAACATCTGCTTTACACATTCAAACATTCAAATATTCAAATATACAGTGATACAGGGAAATATACGTATGTATGTAAATGCTATTACTTTCATATGTGTTTAAACTACGTTAATAAATATATTTAGCAATACATACATACATACACATAGAGGTACTTAGAACGTCTGTTAGAGCTATCTTAGAGATGTATTGCATTCTTATTATTCTTGTTATTGTTTTTTGTTCATTATTATAAAAATAGTCAGAGATTTCAAGAAGACAACGCAAGGCTTTCATAGGCCTACAAAAGTAGTATACGTAATACATATGTATTAACAAATACATATATATAAATATAAAGCAGCGAGTAAAAATAGTATGTGTTTCTATGAAACGATACTAATCCATATAAACAACAACAGTGCTGGCAAAAAAACTAGCATAACGCCGCCATACACATACATACATGCCGCACATGGAAAATCTTAAGGGTCTCTTACTTCGATAGAACTAGAATGCTATTCAAGCAACCATTATACATATATGTAATTCATAAAATATTCAATTTTTAGGTGGTAACACGGTTTTGGGTTTTTTTAAACTACAAAACCAAATATTTGACCTTACTTTGGCACGAGGGCTGGGTACAAATTCTTCGGACTCGCTTTAATTAATAGTTTTCAGGCTGAAGTATAGTGTGAAAGATAGATAGGTACATAGGTAGAGTGTGGAGTGGATGTCTAACGATAAGCCTTTTGAAACTCAATGGAAGATCACCGGAACTAAAGTCCTCACACTTTATTGGCTCTTCTGTGAACCACACTGTGCTTCTGATAAAGTTCATCAGTACGAAAAGTTTTATCTGTGCAACCTCTGAAAAGTAGTCAAGTAACTTTCGACCGATAGTTGCGCTTTTTTTCTTGTGACACATAGAACCTTACATTCGCATAGAAAACGATTTGTAGTCTTCTTCTCTTCTGCCACCTGACAACTTTTATAATAGTCGTTATATAGCATTACTAGTCTATTACACAGTGACCTGTTAGCACTCCTTCTATAACTTTTATATCATTACTTTTAAATTTTCATAGACGGCACGCGTGGTCTATTCCATTAATGCCACGTTCGCTTGCTTGTGTAGCAAGTCAGAGGAGGATTGATTCCACCGAGACTCAGATATGTTATTAACATATTTGTCCATTGAATTACTGCGGAGTGTTATTGTAGTGTAGTGCCTGTTCAGACCAGTTCATCTGCTTCACTGTTCCTAAGTCCTGGTACCCATTGCGGATGTAATTTTGGGAGATAGCCCTTGTTGTTTACAATTACAACTATTCGTTAAGTTTTTAACACAACTCTTGTGTTTAAAATATGTTGGCAATAATAGTACGGTTTTAACGATATCAACCAAAGTGTGCAATAATATCGTCTTTATTCCAACGGTAAGTACCCAGTGATTTTCGTAAGCTTTGTTTCCATATATACAATAAATATATTTATTTTCCTTCATGACTTTGTTAGTGTAAATATTACGCAAAACTGTTAAATACATTAAACGAGTGTGTACACATTTAATATTCGCTTTGTTGCAGGCGAACCCAACCGCCAATGCGAAAGATCGTTGTTGCACGAACACCCAAAATGCGTTCCCATATCTCAAAGCTGCCTAGCTACTGGCTACAGGCTGCTCTGGCTGCTTGTTTGCCCGGTTGTTTCAGTTGTTTCGGGCCATAGCCAATACAAGGGCTGTGAGGATTAATCGCCCCGCGCCACAGCTGCCGTCAACTTCCCCAACACAGTCGCCATCCCAGCTAACTAACGATCACTCACCGATTTGTGTGTGTGTGTTTGCTCGTTGAATGGTGCTTTACGGTATCGTCGTATGCACATTTAGTACGTTCTTTTGGTATACACGTACTCATTGTACCGTTGTACGATGAAATGAATGTATTACGAGCGTTTTTTCTCTATACTATGTATCGGGCATATGTGTAGTTATATTTATAGAAAAACTTATGTGTGTAGCAACATCACGATCATATAGCGCAATATTCATACATACACATGAATGCATGTAGAAATGTGTGTACGGTAGATACGTGGCGGTATATCGATCGCGTAGAGCAATACTTAAAAATAACTTACCATTTAGTAATTTAACAAAGCAGAGAAAGAACTCTGTTGTTGCCAGCTTTTCTACCCCGAAATATACAAAATCAAAGCGATTATTTTCAAAAAGATTGTATATAGGTATCTATATAGGTATCTACTGCATATACTGTATATATGTATAAATGTAAATAGTAGCTGTGTTATAAAATACAACGGTGTACAGCTAGAACACGCAGCCATGGCGGCCAAGGAGTTCGATCAGATTGATTATTCGAGTCACTAGAATCGAAAATATTAACTGTGAGAAATGTATGATACCAAAGATGCCAATAAGGCAGCTTCACTTGGAAAAGAAACTTCAGAAATACCGAGAAAATAAGCAGATATAGAAACATGAGGATAAGATCGCGACGATCGGGTTGGAAAATTTATGATCTCAAATATATGTACACACATATGTATGTATGTATGTATGTACATATACACCACCG